ACTCACACACACACACACATATATATGTATTTATATACATACGAATATACAAATACACAGTTAAGTGAGCGTCTCTTTCTCCTCCGGGTATTGTTCTTGCTGGGCTAAAGGCGCGGATCTGCGGGTAAAAAATATTAAAAGCATTTAAATTCTAGCCAATAAAACTTATTTAGATGATGTGACAGAATCACATACTTTTAACATCAACAAATTTCCCTGGATCAGCTTTTGAATAGAAATATAATGTATTGTAAATATAATGTTAAAGAACAAAATAATGATCGTAATAAAATGTACAACCTTTGCATTACCTGATCTCAAAGTATTACTAATCCTTTTCTTTTTCTTTATTCATCATAATCATCTTCCGTCGTATATTTCACTTACTTTTCCTTGACTATTTGACCAGCTGCTTCCAAACCAGCAACGGTGTCCTGCATGAGCGCCCCACGAGTCTCCGGAAGCCTCAGGGTCACCACGCCCGCCACGAAGCCAGCTGCACCAAAGAGCACGAGGGGCGCCCAAGACCCGATGGTGCCCTGAGGAAGAGGGAGGGGGTGATTTCGTCAACTCGGGTATGATAGAAGGGCAGTGAAAGGTCATTTTTTCCTTTATTCTCCAGGGCATGAAAATAAAAGAAATGCCCGGAGGAAGAGAGATGTTGATTTCGAGCATGTTAGAAGGGTAGAGCAAGGGTATGCGAATATGTTAGAGGCTTTTTTTCCTTTATTCTCCAGGGCATGAAAATAAAAGGAATGTCCCGAGAAAGAGAGATGTTGATTTCGTCAACTCGGGCGTGATAGAAGGGTAGAGCAAGGGCATGCGAATATGTTAAAGGCTTTTTTTTTTACTTCATTGATTCTCTGGGGCATGAAAATAGAAGAAATGCCCCGAGAAAGAGAGTTGTTGATTTCGATAACTAGGGCATGTTAGAAGGGTAGAGCAATGACATCCGAATATATTAAAGGCATTTTTCCCTTTATTCTCCAGGGCATAAAAATAGAAGAAATGCCCCGAGGAAGAGAGGTGATGATTTCGTCAACTCGGACATGATAGCAAGGAAGAGCAAGGACATGCGAATATGTTTAAGACCTTTTGCTCTACTGATTCTTAAGGACGTGAAATTAAAGAGAAATGCTCTTGAAGAAGCAACAGAACGAAAAAGACCTCAGCATATTCGTGTGTTTCCTTGGTCTTCCCTCCGTTGTTCTGTTGACCACTTGTTCAGCTTAAATCCTTTACTTGTTGGGATTAACAAAGGAATGGAGTAGAGAAAACAAAGCGATATAAGGTGGAAATATTAGTGGGTTGAAATTCAGAACCAAAGCTTGCATGAAACCAAAAAAATCTCAAACAGATAGAAACAGAGAAACATTAATTCCAGCCGCAAACATCCCCAAGCAAACAGGCTACTTATCACCGCATATGACCGCACGCAATCGACATCGTCCCCTGTTAGTGAGATAAAAAAACACCTAACGAAGGAATCCTCTCCTTACCAAAGCCTCCACCAGAAACGGCGCGGAAATCGACCCGATCTTGGACATCATCGAACAGGTTCCCAATCCGCGGACTCTGACTTCGGTTGGGAAAAGTTCCGTGGCTTGGAGGGAGAGAATCTGGTAGGCTGCGGCGATGGTCAGCTTCCCAAGTAAAGCCATTGTTGTCACCAGCCAGTCAATACCTGTGTAGATTCCCAATATTCTTAATTATACATATATATATATATAGATATATATATATATAGATATATATATATATATTACTCACACACACACACACATATATATGTATTTATATACATGCGAATATACAAATACACAGTTAAGTGAGCGTCTGAATATGTTAAAGGCTTTTTTTTTTCCTTTATTGATTCTCTGGGGCATGAAAATAGAAGAAATGCCCCGAGAAAGAGAGTTGTTGATTTCGATAACTCGGGCATGTTAGAAGGGTAGAGCAATGACATGCGAATATGTTAAAGGCATTTTTTTCTTTAATCTCCATGGCATGAAAATAAAAGAAATGCCCTCAAGAAGAGAGGTGATGATTTCGTCAACTCGGACATGATAGCAAGGAAGAGCAAGGACATGCGAATATGTTTAAGACCTTTTGCTCTACTGATTCTTAAGGACGTGAAATTAAAGAGAAATGCTCTTGAAGAAGCAACAGAACGAAGAAGACCTCAGCATATTCGTGTGTTTCCTTGGTCTTCCCTCCGTTGTTTTGTTGACCACTTGTTCAGCTTAAATCCTTTACTTGTTGGGATTAACAAAGGAATGGAGTAGAGAAAACAAAGCGATATAAGGTGGAAATATTAGTGGGTTGAAATTCAGAACCAAAGCTTGCATGAAACCAAAAAAATCTCAAACAGATAGAAACAGAGAAACATTAATTCCAGCCGCAAACATCCCCAAGCAAACAGGCTACTTATCACCGCATATGACCGCACTGCAATCGACATCGTCCCCTGTTAGTGAGATAAAAAAACACCTAACGAAGGAATCCTCTCCTTACCAAAGCCTCCACCAGAAACGGCGCGGAAATCGACCCGATCTTGGACATCATTGAACAGGTTCCCAATCCGCGGACTCTGACTTCGGTTGGGAAAAGTTCCGTGGCTTGGAGGGAGAGAATCTGGTAGGCTGCGGCGATGGTCAGCTTCCCAAGTAAAGCCATTGTTGTCACCAGCCAGTCAATACCTGTGTAGATTCCCAATATTCTTAATTATACGTATATATTTCCTTGAATTTCTTCCTAATTTTAAACCACACAATCAATCAAGTAAAATTTGCTCATTGAAGGACCACTTCTTACAAAATTCCTCTCCGGGCGTCTCAGGTCTCGTCCACTGTCAAGTCTTCCTCCTTCTATTTATTAATCCATCTAATATCCATTCCTCTTCCTCATTTTTTAATCATTAACCACACACCTCTTAATCTCGATCTTACCTGCCGGAACGACCCCAAGAACTAGCAGAACCGCAGCCGTGACAAAGAAACAGATGACATTCGACGGCCTCCTGCCCATCTTGTCCACCATCGGAATCGTGAGCGTGCCGCCGGGGAGCTCCACGACCCCGCTCAGGGTCATGTACACGAAGGGGTCGACGCCGAACTTGTCGCCACCGAGGGAGAGGCCGTAGTAGACTAGACCCGCTACCACGTGATTCGCGTATAAGTATAGGGTTAAGGACCGTATTCTTCGGGTTCTGTGGAGTGTGGGATTTGATGGGAAGAAGGCAGATATAAACATGCATTTATACGTGCATACATACGTACATAAATACACACACACACACACATACGCCTATGTATCTGTACTTCGAGATTCTTCACCAATGTGACCCAGAAAACGACTTCAGAACGAACAGTTAATAAACATTTCACCCTTACCTGAAAAGAATAACAAGCTCATTGGCAATACTTCTGAGGAGATCTGAAAATGTCGATGAATTCGCTCGGTCTTCATGCCGCCCATCTCCTTGCTGTATTAAGATAAACGCCATCAAATACATATCTATTTGGAGTCACGTGTATGAACAGTATAGCCTAATATCCCCAAACCTTGTTTTCTTAAAACCTCTTAACAAGGTCTTCAGTGGAAATTTTATATTCATTGTCCTAATACATGTCCTAATGTTTACCTCCTTTTGTATTTCCGCCATGACCTTTAATAGCTCCTCGTCTCTTGGTAATTTGACCTTGTTCCATTTCGCAGCCCTTCGGAGGACGCGCAGAGCCTCCTGGTGGCGACCTTTCACGATCAGCCAACGAGGTGATTCGTCGATAAACCTTCATTCAGTAATTTAGGTGTTTTAGGTATCTTATGATATTTTTCTCCGTTTTTTTGTTATTTGTTTGTCTATGATTATTCTATTTTTTATTGTTCTTATTCATTTGTTTATTTTTTGTATTCATTAATTTTTTTGTTTATTGATTGATTGATTTCTCCATTATTCATCCTTTCCTTGTTCCTTTTTATCAATCTAGCTATCAATCATTGATTTTTGCCGTGTAGGTTTATGAATATATTAATATAAGATATCTATACAGAACAATTATATCATACGAAATATTGCTAGTACGACAGGTATACCAGACTTGCAAGATATTCACCTACCACAGCGCGGGCAAGGAGAGCACACTCGGCAGACTGACTGTGAACATGAACCACCTCCAGTCTCGTAGCAGGTACCCGACACCCCCCAAGGCAATGATAGATAAAGCCCAGGGCAGGAATACTAGGATGCCGACGAAGGACCGATAGCGAGGGACGCAGACTTCCATGGCTGGACGAGAAAGAAGTATTTATTAAACGGAGAAATATTGCAATTCAAAGCGAAGTGTGGTTGGTTGGAATCCACTATACTCGGAATATCACCTATCGAACAGGAAAAAAATTACATCTTTTTCAAGCTATGGTGGTTTACAATGTGCGATCGTCCTCCAGAGAACAGACTTAACGAACTGAACGAAATATCTACAAACCCAGACTGAAAATGGAATGTATGGACGTCGGGTGCATGAGTCCCATACAGAAACGGGCCAACAGTATGGCAGAGACATTAGGTAGCCAGGAGAGAGCGTTGGTCAAAATCGTATAGGTGATTGTCCCTATCACGAGCATCGTCTTCCTCCCGTATCTGTTAGTGCGAGTGTGTATGAGCATTAGATCGAGGGTCGTATCTACAATTTGAAGATAGGGCTTGCTAAAAAAAATAAAAAGGAGAAAAATACATATGGGATAGAAAGTAGAAAAAAGATTATGAATGAGAATGAATATCTTCACTGTGCAAGATATGCATTTGACGGGTTTCGATCATACCTTCGTCAGAACTACTTTACATGAAATCAAACTGCCGCAAGAGACACTGTTCATGCGACATAAACTTGAACTTATACAATTTTCACTTTTAATTCATTATATAGTTAACATACAACTCTACTAAGCATGGCTGTAGAATTGAGCGTATTATAAGACAAAGAACAAGATCCTACTTA